TATATATCTTCTCTCGTCAGAGTTGGCCACACTTGGTGTTCTTGCAATTTTTTTTTTTTTTTTTTACACAATGCGATTAATCGAAGGAATGGCTAACTTAGATTCATTCACAAAGTATTAAGGGGATACCCTTCCTTTTTCACATTTTTCCATTTCCTTCCTGCGTCGCATCCAAATGAAAGTTTCGCCACCTGCGGAAAAGCAGATCACATCTATGCCTTTACGGAAGGATTACAGAAAAAAGTGTCGCAATTTTGGAGATAAAATTCCTTTGTGGTTAATCGAATAAAACTCAGGTGCCAAGGGTACTCAGCTAGTGGCATCCCCTCCCCTCGTCGAGGCATGCCTGTCTGCTTGCATGCAAGCTGGCATCGAATGATAAATTGCGTTAGGGAGATTTCTTTCTATCCTATCATGGCGGATTGACATAGCATATCATGCAACTTTTCTTTTGGTGAGGAATAAAAAAAGGGAGGTAACATTCTTTTCGAGGTGGAGAGAGCAGGTATAGGGGGTGATATGACCCAATCCAACTGACCTTCTTCTTTTATGTGTACGTACCATTTGGGTTTTAAGATCGTAATAAATGAGTAGTGCTTCGCGAAGAAGGTTGTCCCCTTTGGATGGCCACACACCTTTGCTTGTTTATTCTCTCTCCGCCGCCCCCTTTTTTGGACGTATTGGTTCGACCTTGCTGCTACTTAGCGGCGCATTGGTATGGCAGCATAAACTGGGAGGGGGGGCAAATATAACCTTCCCCCTCTTGTGTACATCAACACCCGCGCCACGAGAACAATGCGGATAAATTTGGCATGATGCAGGCGGCCCATTCGAGCTTCCCTTCCCCCGGGTTTGCGGCAGTGTGGTGGCGACGGAAAATTAAAAAAAAAAAAGGAAGGATGGGGAATAGGAAGAGGGACAGGAATAGGAATAGGAACAGGAACGGGAATATAACCGTGGATACACTATGACCAAGTGCGTGTGGCGAGCTCCATCGCGCAGTTTTTTCTCCTTCCTTTTCTGGTTCATCGCCCCCTTTTTGTGGTAGCAGTTAAACGTAATTTATGACGGTTTGGGGAATCGGGGGAACAGCAAACAACGGGGGAATCATTTTTCCCATTTGGAGAAAGCGGTCATTCGCGTTCTTCTCAGAGGAAGAAATTGCGCGGAGGGAGATCTATTAACGCGGCGAACTGTTCTTTTTTCTCCGCCCCGTCCGCATTAACTCGACAGCGTTGCATTATCCGTTCGTTCGTTTGCTTCTTTGCTTTTTTGGGCCACTCGCGCAGTTGCTGCTCTTTCCCCCTTTCCCCTTTTTTTTTTTGATTCCGCCGCGCGAAGATCTGAATGCATATAGGGAGTAAGCCACATACATGAGGCTCGATTTAAAAAAATCCCAGAAGTGGGAAGTAGCGCCATGCAAAGTGGCACAATACAGAGAGGCCCAACAAAAAGTACAAAATGAGCAGTGGCGCAATAAACGATGACGAAACGAAAAAGTGAAGAGGCGAAAATAGGTTGTGTTTTCTTTTTTTTTTTTTTTACGTACGGAATGGTAAT